AAACCGCCGCGCCCCCCGCTGTTGTGTTGCAGGTGCTGAAGCCTGACGGCGTCTGCTGGGAGCGGCCGGTTGGCAGCTGCTCGGTGGAGATGGGCCGCGCACCGGGAGGAGCGCGGCGGCCGCGTTACTGCAATAAAGGGTTTTTCCAGTAGTCCCTGCCTCGGCCTCGCTTACTGAGCTCCGGTTTGTGCCGGTGCTTCCGCGCCTGCCTTCTGTTGTTGGGCTCAGCAGAGGGGCAAAAGCGCGCCCTGCTTATTACTGGGGCTGTGCGCAGTGCCTTCGTTGTAATGTTACTGTGTTCTTGCGTTCTTATTAACCTGTCACGACAAAAATAACACTGTTTTGAGTACAGCAACCTTGATCCCGACCTTTCTGGTGAGTGTTTTGCTGTATGTAACCAGTAAAGTAGCACTGCTAAACTTACTGGTCTTCCATGGAATTTAGTTACAAGTTGGAAGTCAAACTTTGTACCAGCTTGCCGAGCAACAGCCTGCTGCTTCTGTCTTTCTGTCCTCAGTAAGCTATTCTATAAATGCTGCTATAAATACACCTACTTGCTTTCTTTCCTGGCAGTCGCCCACAGAGAGTGAGCACTTGTTTCTCTCCCCTTAGAGGAGTTAGTAAATCAGTCTCGCTTATTTTCTTCCTCAGCTTTCCCTTCCACCACACAATCAGCTAGAAAGATTTATTCTTTTAGGCTATTATATAAAGTAAAAGTAAGGCTGAAAGGATTAGGAATGAGCCTGAAAACTGTCACGGTTCAAGGGCTGGTTTTTAAGTACTGGTATTTTCCATCTGGAAATAGAGCGATACTGGTGTGTGGTGTGTTTGAACCGAGTTGGGTCTGCGGCTCCTGATCCTGTGGTCTCTGATGGGAATGTTCTTCATCCTTCAGTGTCCTGCACTTGCTTAAGGCACTTTAGTGGCAGGTGGGATCGGGGGTTTGAGTATCCTAAAGCTGAGGAGACCACTTCTGGAATTGATGTTCAAATCGCTGAACTTGGGCAGAGTGAGGATTGCTGTCAGGGCTGATGTTGAAAGAGCGTTTGTGGGGTTTTTTTCCCCTCCTGCGGGTGTTAGTTGTGCCCTGGTCAGCTCATGGGCGGCCTGAGGTGGATTACGTGCTCTAGAGAAAGCCCTTCTCAATATGTGCTCATGCTGTTTCTTGATCTAGGCCTTGATTCTTCTCTGGTGGTGCTTCAGAGCATCGGGTGAGTCCGCACTCCCCTGATTCGTGTGACGCAGCAGAGCTCTCGGGAACTAGCTATGGGTGCAAAAAGTCCACCTTGGAGTTTACTCCTCTGGCTGCTGTTTGTTTCCCGCACTGCTTTAGCAATGACTGAAGAGCGTTTGCTCTGGTGGCTGCCAGCCCTGACTGCACCGACTGACCCAGACAGGAGGCATCAGCTGTGAGCTGATGGCCAGAGAGAGGTAAACTGGTAGTGGGGGTGGCTCAGAGCAGCTGTAGCCCTTCCTGAATATCCCTGCGGGGTCAGTGTGGCTTTTGACCATGCGAGGAAGGAGGTGACTTTGAATCTCCCGATCTGATGATTGCCCTTTAATGCGGCTTTGTATCAGAGCACCAGGGTGAACCGGGGGTTGTGAAGGGCTGTGTCTGGTCCCAGCGTCCCGCTTGCTCCTGTGAAGTGAAATGGGCCAGAAGACACAGTAGCTGAGTCTGGTTCCTGATGGGGACAGTTCAGCTGGAAGAAAACCAGACTGATGGATGTAGCCAGTTCATAAACTCGCAGGGAATGAATTGAAATGTGCCGGCAACTGCTCAGGGTGAGGGCTGTGCCAGGCTGTCCCTTGGCTGAAGCTGTTCTGGGGGTTTTAGCTTGAGCCAGACAAGGAGGCAGGAGACTGCTGATGGTCACTGTAATATTTCAAAATAATTTTACTTTAAATTTTATTTATATCTTAAAAATAAACATCAGTATTAAAATATCAGTAAACAAACCTGTGAAACCAAAGCAGTGAGTACAGAATACATACAGAGCAGTGTACTAGAGTGGCTGTGAGCATCATATGTTAACTTCAGTGCAAAGCTGAAACAGGCCCACTGCAAGGACAGCAGTGTGTTGCCCAGAACAAGTTTCTTGGGGAGCATTTCCCAGCTTACAGTATGGCTCAGACCAGGCCTGTGTGGGGCAAGAGATGGAGGGGGAGGCTGGGTCAAGGAGCAGAAATGGGGGCTGTGACATGTTACCTTTGTGAAGGATTCAGAGAGCAGAGCCAGCTTCACATGCAAAAGCCTCTTTCTTCTTCCTCCCGGTCCTTAGTCCTTACCTTGTCTGTTCCCACCCCGCCTGGTGCACACACACTCGCACAGACGCACACACGTCCTCCGACATACGTGTCCATCTCCATGGGCCCTAGGCTCTCTCTGAACTCTTCTTGCCAATCTTTTTTTTCCTGGAGCTATCCTCAGTCACTCTCCTCCCTTTTGGGAAGGAAAGTGGGCAGAGAGGGACTTGGTTGTGGGATCTGGTTGCCTTCACAGTCAGTGGCTGTGAGTGTTTGAAATGGGAAATGCTTAGGAGGTAATTGCTGTCTTTCCCTTGGGAGAAGGTCCCCGCTCCCCGTGTGGGGTACAGGCTGGGCAGTCTTAGTCCTTAAACGTGTTCATGGCTCTTGGCCTCCTTCTGTCAGCTTGGCTGCAGCCCTGAGTGCCCAGAAGTTTTGCTCCCAATGAGCAAATCAAATCACTGAGTGATTTCATGTTGAACTCCATCCTTTGAATAAGGAATACAATTTTTTTTGCTTTGTGTGCATGGGCTAGAAAAAATTCAGATTTCAGCCAGGAAAGGAAATGCCACAAAAGAAGGGCAAGTATTTTGGTCTGGAAGTGCTCCCAGCCTGCATCCAAGGCAGTGTTAACCAGCTGGTTTCTCTCCCCTCTCCCATCGCTGCACAGGATTCGCCTGCTGAGGACTGGCTTCCCCACCAGCCTGTGCAGTACCGCAGGGTCCGGGAGCCGACACTTGCCCTCCTGCAGCCCTGCTCCCCGTCACCGGCTCCACTGCCTTCCTGGAGCTGCTGAGAGGTGGCTGAGAGAGCAGAAACCAGGTGCTATTTCTGCTGGGCTTGTTTTCTGCTGTTCCAGTGAGTTAGTGACTTGCAGAGGGCTCCGAGGCAGCACGGCTCCAGTGGTTGTGGTAGGGAGCAGGGCTGATGGGGAGCAGAGGGGATGGGGCTGGCTTCTGCTCACTGCATTTCCCACCCCAAGGTCGCTTGATGCTTGGCTCCTCTGTCACTTGGTGGAGCAAGGTGGCTGTGTGTGGGCCCCTTCCAGCAGCAGAGATGGGCAAGTGAGGCCCAGGGATGGCACCTGCTCTAGTGACAGGAGGATTAAAGCATCTGCAGCTGCAGAGAGCGATTCAGCACATGAAGGAGTGGCAGGAGAGGGGACATAAATTACAGCCTAGCGCTGATGGTGGCCGGCTGGCACATGGCTGGCCCCTGGCTGGATCTGAAGGTTGCTCTAATTTGGTTTCTTTGGGCTCCCAGGGCTCTTCGTGGTTGGCTGTGACGTCCCCTGCTGCAGAGAGAGCAGAAATGAAATGCCACCAGAGACCCCTCCAGTGACTCCTGGTCAGGGCCAGCCAGGCTGGTTCCCTGCTACTGAGGATGCACCGAGCATGTGGCACCTTGGATGCTCTGCTCTCGCCCCTGCAGCCCCTTCCTGGGGACCATCATCTGTGTCACAGCCCTGTCCCCTCCCACGGGGCCACCGGCCTGCCGTGCAGCGCAGCTGAGCCGGTGGTGCAGTGCCACCGCTGTGGCCCTTGTGTGGGACAGGGCGAGTGGCAAGAGCTGGGGGGGCTGTGGTACTCACGGGCAGCTGCGTCTTTGTGCCGTTGAGGTGGGCGTAGAGGAGCACGGCGATGTTGCTGTGGCCTGCCTCCAGCGCGATGGCGACGGCGTTGTTACCATCCTAGAAAGGGAGAGAGCAGCTGGGAAGAGGTCTGGGGACGGGACGCAGGGTGGGTGAGCGTGCCCAGGCCCCAGCGGCAGAGGCTTACGCTGTCCACGATGGAGATGTTGCAGGTGGGCTGAGCCAGCAGCAGCTTCACCGTCTCCACGCGGCCATGCTCGCAGGCGCACATCAGCGCAGTCGAGCCCTCCTCATCCTGCAGGTTCACGTCGGCTCCGCAGGTGAGCAGGGCTTCCACCATCTCCTGCCGGCCGTGGCGCATCGACGCGGTCCGGCCAGCCTGCGAGGCAAGGGATGCTGCCAGGCTGCTCCTGGCCAGCTGTGCCACCCGCTCTGACCACTGCCCTGGGGAGGGACCACTGCCATCCCCAGTGCCCACATGGCCTCTGAGCATCTCCCTGGCTGGAGATGAGGTGTGGGTGGAACCTGAGAGTCCTGATGCCAGGCAGAAGGGGTTCCTAATGTGATGCCCTCCCGGTTTTGGAGCCACAGTCCTGCCCTTGGAGGAGCCAAGTGTGGCCCTGGCAGCTGCTTGGGGGTGGGGGGAGAGGTTCAGGACGTGGTGGCCCACACCAACCTGGCTGGCCTTGGCGTTGACGTTGCCCATGCTGAAGAGCCTCCTGACCACGTTCATGTCATCTTCCTGCTCGACGGCCGCCAGCGCTGCCAGCATGAGAGCTGTGTAGCCGGCTTTGTTCTGGTGGTCCACATTACAGACCCCTGCAGGGATGGGCAGAGCGGGGGGGCTCAGGGTACTGCGGGGCTGGTGGGAGGCACAGACGGAGCCACATGCCTGGCTCCCACCCTGCCCAGGGTGCTGTGAGCCATCCCACATCCCCATGGATGCAGACCTGCTGATGGGCCTCCCCCCATCAAATCTGGGCTCCCAAAGCGCTGGGGTGGCTGCCCAAACCCCCGTGCACAGAC